AATATATATATATCGCGATTGATTTAGCATAAAAAAGAAACTATATCTAATATATATACATATAAAAATTCTCTCTTTATATAAACGTGCTTGCAAAACCATTCAATCGAGACGAATTCTAAAATCGAGTATACAAGTCTCTGGATCCGTTTAACGCGAATTCCTCCGTGAGTAAGTAATGATAATAATTTGTCGATCAATGAAATGCGATTGCACGAGAGAATCAGGTAATGCGAGCAGGTTAAAAAATTATATTTGTATATCGACATTGTATCGCCCCTTGCACGTTCATTGTCCCATTACTTTTCGACACTACTATTCGACACCTGCATCGTCTTGCGTAATCGTAAGCAAGTCCTGCAAATTTATAGCGTGACTCGCGAGCGTTCTTGACTGACTTCTGTTTCTGTCCCCGCGAATTTTCTTGTTACGCGTATCTTTCCGATTCTTCTCCGTCTATCCCAACCCGTTCCGTTCGGAGTATTCTTCGTACTTATTCCTTTTCCAAAATCCGATCTTGCGGAATCATCTGAATCCATAACGAGAGACTGGACCGTTCAACCATGGCCAATCAATAGCGCGAAATCGGAACACTCTCTGTTTCCTATCTATACCGTTTATTTTTTTTTCTCCGTTTTAGAAGGAAGAGATACGAAGGGGAGAAAAAATGGTATAAAGTGTGGGGATCGCGATTGTGTGTGGGAAAGTCGAGAGTACGATTTACTGCGTCTGTTAGCTTGTTCCTGCTTCTTCGCTTAGCTCAATTTGACCAAGGGGTTATTCCGCACGAGCGATACGAGGACTCTCGAAGGACTCTCGCGTTACATCCAGTCTATGGCGCGCGCGAACAGAAGGATGTATTTCCGAAAAATTATTACATTATCGTTTATTGCGGACGCGGGACGCGCGAAGATCCCGATGAGTAATATTCCCTAACGAGCTTCCGCTATTTCTGCCGATCAGCTCCGGCCGCGTTTGTCACGTTTTTCCCCTCATCGAAGGGGAGAAACTCACGAAAAATTGTACACTTTATCAAGACTTCGTAACGCTTTACCGATAATTGCAAATTTATACAGGCACACATCTAATAATTATCTTAAATATCATTAGAGATATTCTTGGATATTCTTAGATAATGTTTTTTTTTTCGGTAATATACAGAAATCTGGAGACCGTTTTGGATAGTTAGATACCTGGTAGATATCTATACTCTGTGGAAACGCGTCGTTTCAGAAATTTCTGTAAATTTTAGTAGGGACCAAACGTGACTCTCGCCGCCATCGAAGGACTTTAATTCATTTCGGAATTAAGAATCCGCGTAAGCGGACGAAACTACCTTAAATTAATTCACTGGCCATATCCTGGACTCCTTGCGATCGACACGTATCGCGGTTGTTTAAGTCTCGATTAATATGTATAATATATATATAATGTGTATGTATATAATGTATATAATATATATATATGTACGTAGGTATAGGTATAACAACAGTCAATTATATAAAATTGCGGCAGTGTGCTTTCACGTATAATAGTTAATGTTAATCATACATTCACTCTCTGCCTTTCTCTCGTTCTCTCTCTCTCTCTCTCTCTCTCTCTCTCTCTCTCTCTCTCTTTCTCTCTCGTATAATTGATTTATTACTTTAGTAATAAATTTAATCAGGACGGCGAGGAACACTGGATACCGTCTTTGTGTCTGTATCTATCTTTTACGATGTATTAAGTCGATTATATTGAAAAGCCAAGCCCTTCCCATGTGGGCCCATAAACGCGTTATAGAGTATACAAATTCTAAAGCGCAAGCAATATCGTTAAAGATTTCTCGTCAAGAACACGAACATCGTAATTCAACCACATTTACGAAATAATATATCTGATACATTCATAATTTTCTCTCTATGACGCTAAGAACGCTAAGATATGACGTCAACGCGTCATACGACAACGACGAATGACAATACGGTTTGCGATGCTTTATTTAAAATCACTATTCAATTCCTCTACGAGCGAGCAGAGATGATAGGAACTACATGTGTGACATGTCCCCTTAATAAAACCTGACGAATGATTTGAAAATTCATCTGGGATACCTGGAAAGTTAACGAAGAATAAAAATGTCAGAGTATCGGAGTACGATACTCTAACATTTTTGAGGAAGTTTGACGCAATGCGGGCGCAAATTGGAAACTTATGTATAAAGCACTTGAAAATTCGCAACGCTAATCGCAGAAATAGATCACACGAGTATTCAAATTTATTCGTAAATGTATTTTATTCGATTCTCATGAGCAATGATTCATAGCGAAAATGTAACGTCAGCATCCTGCAAATAATTTTGGAATAATTAAAAAAAAAAAATGAAAAAATCGCAATCGACTTTTGCTCGCGGATTCTACTTTTGCGAAGAAGGGTTTTTTCTTTGGAAAATCCTAAATCCGCGGGAAAATGAAAGAGGACACCCTCGGTACCCGGCATTCACTCGCACGCACGCAAACACATCGGACGACAGTCACACGATCTGGAGCTGGAAATACAGCTAGGATTGCGTATGGCGGCTCGTATATGTATACGTATATATGTACACGTTACATTCAGCTATACAATTAGTCTCGATTTCGCGGCTACATCAATTAAAACTTTACCCCTCCCACTCGCCTCCTCTCGCCCCGCCGACCTGCCCTTCGCCCTAAACCCTTGAGTACTCTCGCGCGGCAACGCTAACTGTGCGGAAAGAAGTGATTACGCGAATGTGTATAATATCTATTTATACGTGCGTGTTTATACAGATTACAGTGCTCCTTTATTCTTCTTCTCTTCATTCGTCGGAGCCAAGCCACGAGCGAGATCGGTGCGATAAACGGTGTGTTACAGCGGATAACTATAACGAATCGGCGCTCGTGGCTTCGCTCCGGATCGTAGTGCGTGATTTCATCGTCGCTCGATCGTTTTCCCAACGATCAACGGCGACGACGGCTGCTTCTACGTTTAATTCCCCTTTCTTCCTTAAATCATTCGTTTACTTTTTACGTTCAGTTCATTCGCGCGTTTTCTCCCTTTCGTCTCTCGCGCTCCCATCATTTACTCACTCACTCTCTCTCTCTCTCTCTTTCTCTCTCTCGCTCACTCTTCCTCTCGTTCGATCATCGATCGTTTTACAGCTTTAGACGTATAATAATACTGGCTATTTTTTACTCGTTTTTTTTACGTTCCCATTTTTAAAAGTATAGGTAATTATCCGTAGCATTTCTCTCTGTTTACTCGTAATTATTATCGTTTTCGGTCAGCTTCTCCCGCGGCGGCATCTCCTCTCCTGCTTCTCCTTCTGCCTCCCCTCTCCTCCTGCTCTAATCATCCGCGACCCAATCTCGGGCAATCGATCGCCCGGTATTGATACAATAGCCAGTTGATTGCCCAATACTATATCTATACGCAAACATGTCCAAACGAATTCCGTCTGTGTGTGTCCTATTGTCGACATATAGAAACGCCGCCATGTGTCTCCTCGCGCCTTCACTCTTCCCCATCGTATGTATAACATCTTTATGTATATTATATGTATATCTAGTTTAGCTGTTTGTTTGTTTGTTTGTTGGTTTGTCGGCTTGTTTGTTCATGTATCCTTTTGTTTCTGTATACGAGAGCTAGCTAATGCTACAAGTAATAGTTTTTTATCAAAAGCACACACGTAATATCGTGACTAGTCTACGTATGTATATATAATATGTATATATAGTATATCGCATATAAACTGATTATTATGTATGCCACGTGCACCTCTCTTCGTTGACCGGCTCGCTCGCTTCAAGTTCTGTACGTGTTGTGTGTTCGTGTGTGGATCGTGTTGACGTTAGTAGTGTCGACGATGACGACGCGGAGGGACAACGTTCCCTCTTCTTCTGCTCCTCCTCCTCCTTCTCCTTTTTTTCCCCCTTTCCCCTTGGCGGAAAAAAGGGCAAGGTGTGCGTGACGAATCCAATCTGCGATCTTAACATCTGCTTCGAGAGACCATTACTTGAAAGGCCATTACGTGTTCTCGGAGAAACTCCCTGTGACGTGCGGAGGATTGAACGTGCTTGAATTGTTTGACTTGCTTTCCCATCAGCAGCGACTTTTTAATGACGTAACGTAAACTGTCTTCAACTCCTTACGGTACTCGTCTACCATAGGTATTCGATCCGAATTGCTTCCGGTAGAACGAAAATCGATTCTTGAATTATGTATCTTCCTATGACGAGTAATGATCATAGTACCACGTCTCTTCGTTTGATTTGTTCGATCACCTCAGTAGCGGTACCTTTTTTATGGTTTTATATTAATTACACAGTAATAAGTATGTTGTGGATATGTATCGCATTTTTTATTTCTTATGAAACTTAATTTCAATTAGAAGAGGCGATAAATCGAGACGTAACATTCGAGGGAGAAATTTACTATTTCGCTAATATTTCTACTACGCAGCAGCTCCAGTATAATGTAGTAACACTGATCGGACTATAGATCGTTTCTCCATCCGCTTTTTCCTTCGCTTACTCTCGTTTCGTTCTAATTTTAACAACTCTTCGCAAGCGTGCCCAATACTGGAATCAATCGACTACCGTAATTCTCTCGATTGGGGTGCGCAACGAAGATCCTTACGAATCGATATGCGAATTTTAGCACCGTGCGAGACTTTCGTCCAGATCACTTTAACACGCTCATCCTATCTCGTGTTTAGAGCTGAACACGATTCAGCCTGATAAACCGAGAATATTTACGAAACGACTACAAAAAAATTAACGATTTTAATGAAATTAGCTAAGTTGCTTTCCGCAATTCCGTCTTACTTTCCGAGCCGATCGGTTCTAAGTTTCGGCTTGTCCTTCGTCCGTCAGTACCACGCGTATTACGAAGTGATGAAGCAGCCCGCAATTCCGTCCGCGTTCTTGAGGAATCGTCATCTCTCCGTGGCCTCTCCCGTTACTCACTACACACGCCTGCGCGACAACGGCTGGTCGTGATTAGTGCGTCTTGGGTATATGCTGATGTCGATCGTCGTCGCTCGCCTCGACGTCACCCTCGACGCCCTTCTCGCCCTCCTCGGGATGCTGGGGATTACCCTCCTCGGTGTCGACGCTGCTCGTAGGCGTCACCTGCTCGACGCCGACGCCCGCACCGGCGCCGGCGCCGACGCTCATGCCGCCCGACGTTGTGCTCGATGTCGTCGTCGTCGTCGTCGCCGTCTCGTCGTTCTTTTCGTACCCCAGATTGCCCAGCAGGCTCTTGTTAATCGGCTCGGGCGAGGCCTCTGACTCCTCGCTGCTAGGTGAACCGGGAGACGAGACTATCACCTGCGCGAACAAAATAGACCCACCGTCGAGGTGCGTCGATTAGTCATGCTCGACGTCGGATACGGTTGGAATTCACAAAGTTTGATCAAACGTTTCGAATTTTATGATGTAGTAAAGAGAGAAGAAATGAGAGGAGAGCATATATATTAAGCCGAATGTTTATAGCTTGTTTACTCAAAAGTTTTATACAATTAATATAGTTCTCTCATCTGCCTAAAATAATACGTTTCTAGATTCTGAAAATATTCGTTACATTTGATCAACTTCGTGGATAACATTGTATATATTAAATTCTCTGTTACGAAAGGATAGTTCCATAAGCTCGCTAATATAAAAACTTATGCGTAGAGACCTACACTGTCAAAAATTCTTACGAGCAATTTATATATTTCATTTCTGTTACTTATAAATTTTTTACTTACTTTTAAAAAAAATATTGCTCGATTCACATTGCGAACGAAGTATGACGTGTTTCTTCAAAAGAAAATTTTTAATAGTCTTTCTGCGAAATCGTTTTTCACGTCGGCTCTGCGTAATTTCGCGGATACCAGAGAGTCGTGGTAGTGGAATGCAATTGTGCATACGCAAAAGTATGTGCTACATCAACGTAGAAAAGTATTTACAAATACTCGGCAAGTCGACGACATTTAGATTCGTATAAAACGTGATGGCATGAAGGTAGAATGAGAGAGTTACATGAATGATGGAAACGTTTCTCTGATATCTGAATCGGGCCATGCATATGACAACGAACTAAAGGCGGATGTAAACGAATAATGAAAACGATAATAACGATGATACCTGTGCAAGAAGCGGCGTCTCTGTGCTGTCAGCGGTTTGGTAGAGCCGGCAATTTGCGCTTGCTCTGAAGAATACGTGCCCAAACGAAAAAAGATAAAGAAGACAACGTAAATTGTCATTATAATAGGAATGAACGTCGAAACTATATACACAAAAACGGAAATCATAACAACCCAGTATGTATGCCCGTGAAAGGTACAGAAATGACATCGACATGCACGAAGACACTTCGCATAAATGATACATATGAAATATGTATATGTACATAAATAAAACCTGTCAAATTTATATCGCGAGATATAATGTTTAATGATAACAATGATGATTAATGACAATAATGAATGATAATCACAAACCATTTCGGCTAAGTATATTTCCCGCAGTAAAAATTTCTATGTAACTTTGAATAACTTTCCTTAATTATATGAATCATAGTGATTCATGTCGTAATTTTTTTTACTTCGGTTCATGTCGGTTACATACAATTTTTGCTTGTTTGAAATTGTCTCTGAAAATGATTGATTACTGAGAAATATATATGATCCAACTTTCCAAATTACATACTCCTCGAAACACTGCATGCCAAAACGTTTGCGAGTTCGTGATATATGGAAGTTTTTTGATTGAAATCTCATCGTGACAAAAACAGAACATATAAGCAGGGCGAATCAATAATCACTAAATGGCGTAGATTCGATTTCGTGGAAGCGCGTCGCGATTGAGGTTGTTTGCGAAGCGAACAAAGGAGAGATAGAATCGGTACTTTGTCTACCATGCTGTTCAACAACGTTTCAATATGCATAGGATACGAAAAGAAGCGAAAATGGAGAAAAACTGAGTATATACGTTCAGAATAATTGGCGAGCGTCTTCTCGATCGGTCCTTCTGATTCCAAAGTTTTGAATTGCTCATGGGCAAAGATTTTACGTGCAAGTACGTGAATTCGTGGGAATCAGAAAAATCAATGCAGTTGACCCTAAACAGTATAAAATGTATTACTTACATGAAACTATTGAGGTAAACTCCCTCTTATCCATTTAATAATGATATTACCGGTGTCATGTATTCTTAAAGTCTCCGATACTATTCTACATTTCCTATGTTTAAATTTTCATAAACAGTTTAAAGTAAATAATCAAGTAATTATTAGCGTTTTGTAATGAAGCATACGTAACGAAAAAAGATCAAAACTTGCTCGTACACTGTTTAGGGTTAACATTCCCTCGACAACAACGTTCAAATCGTGCGAGAAATGCACGTGTATTTGCGACCTACCTGTCGAGGCTTGACCGGTGGTGGAGGACGAATGGAGGGCCCGAGGACTGCGGCCACCGTAGTTTGGGGTTGATGATGAAGTGAGGGTGGCTGCTGCCAAGGCAGCCCTGTGCGTCCCAATGTTCCCTGCAGTTGCACATGCTGCTGCAGCTGCTGCTGCACTTGCTGCTGCGCCTGCTGCAGATGCTGCTGACTGTTGCTGCGCTCGACTACTGGCGTAACTCGAGGAAGTGTTGAACCGACTGAAGAAGTCTTCCGAACTGTCTGTGAAATTAGCTACTGATTACTCCGCTCTTAGCTTATGTTTCTTTCTTAACGCACGTCAATAAACTAAATTCAAATATAAATAATTGAAATAAAGTTAAATTAAAATAAACCTATGGAGATATATCGATATGTCGTTGATTTAAATTCGCGAAAGAGCAAGTTTTACGTCAGATTCATAAAGAACGAGTACATTACCTGACTTTACCGGCCAAATCTCCAACAGATACTTCAGCACGGCGATCGGCTGTTGGAAATCCAATGGAGGTCCGCTTTCTTCCGAATGTAACATCAATACCGGCCCGAAGCAAACGGCAAGGCTTGCCGGTGACATTTTATTGCACTGCGACACCACCATCGCCAAATGATCCAGCAAGTAAATCAACGTGCACTGTTCAATCAATAACACACGTTATTAGAATCTGAATATGATCGTGGAGAGAGGCCTCATCTTGTTTAGTTTTTCTTTTTCTGACTACGATCAATGTGCATTTAAAATGAAACCTCGCCGATACGTACCCTATTGACCTTAGGCAGGCAATCTAGTATACTGAACATGAGCTTAGCGTTGCCCTGCGGGTCGTCCGGCAAACAGACAGCCAGTGCGTCAACCATCATCTGGTAGAGGCACTTCGTGAAGAGAGGTTCCGGAAGTTCTCGCAAATAATCCTTCAGTACACCTGAAAGAACGATCGCCGTCGCCTCACATTTTTCTCGAAACGGTGTTATGTATTTTGCGATGTGTTACCAGTGATGACGTTGATGTCCGGCACGTTGTCGGGCGACAAATTCACGGACCGTGCGTTTCTCTCGAAAGCTTCCCTAAGTATCCTCTTCTTGGTCGCTGAGCCGCAGAGTCTGTACAGACCTGTTGCACGAAATAAAACAACTTTTATCACGCGCACACGAACTCTTTTAACTCGAGACGATTTTTTTTATTACTTGTTCGACACTTACCGATAATGTCAAGTCCTCTTCTCTCCACCTCTTCGACGCAACGCCACACGATAATCGGAATATTCGGGACTCCCATTGCTAAAGCTGTGGAAACTCCACCGGGAACTCCACCAGTCTTGGTTTCTCGACTTACCTATTTGGTTAAAAAAAAATAGTTATTGCACATTTTAAGATTTAAACTAGGAAATATGAAATCTGCACAACGTTAATTTATATTACAACGTTAATATTTAATTGAAATACTTAAAGATTGATATATAATAAATTGTCGTCGTAAAAAAGGGAGCTTACCACTGTATCCAAATCAACTCCGAAGAGAGGCGCTACCCTCGTGGCTAAGGATATGACCGGCAGACCCCTTCGACGGAAAGTTTGTTGGGCGTCGGTGTATCGAAGTTTTAGATAAATTGTGCCACGTGGCTCGACCTTGACGGCCAGCTGATGTTCCGGCGATTCTTTCAGTAGACTGGCCAAATGCACCGATCCCTTGTAACAGAGTTTATGCCTGTACTGTGGGTCCCAAGAGTAAACGAGCAGATCCAGCTGCCGATTGCCTACGAGATCCAGCTCGAAGGTTTCGTCCCAGTCAAACATCAGATCGCCGGTTCGCACCACCGTGCGCGCTTTGTGCACCCTGTCGCACTCCAGTACGCAGTACAAGTCTCTCAAGCCGCAACTAGCTGTATAGTTTTTCGCAAAGAGTATTCATTAGTACATTCATTTAAACAAAATTACTCTAAGAGCATTTTTATACCCAAGACTGGCAATTGTGATGTTACACGTGTTGTTTGAGTGTGTGAGAGTAGCGTGGGGCAAGTGTAGAAAAAAGTACATGGTAATTATTGGTATTCGCCGATCTCGAACACACGAGCGAACGCGTGTTTCATCCAACGCACCTAAATTCGGCTGACCTGAGGGAGTGGAAGGTGTCGTGGCAGCCGATGAGGTCGTAGTCGATCGGAGACCACGCCCCGCTAAAAGATGAACCGATAACAATCCGCTGACTCCGCTCGTCAAGTCGCCGCCGGTCGTCTCCCCGAGCGAGCTCAAAAGCGAGCTCGTCGAGCTCGGCGTGCCCACTGTCGGCGGCTTCTCTATCTTATACTTGAGGAACTCTGCGAAGCGAAATGACCCTTTAGTGCTCGTAATTTTGCGAAACGAGGCGGTAGACAGATACGCGATAGGCTGTCTAATCACCCGCAGGATTAATATCTAGCAGTATTTGACCCTGAGTTCTGGTAGGCGTTGGGGTAGGTATGCTCCTCGTAGACTCCAAATCCAACAGGTTCCTGATCCTCCTGACCGACGTCGCCCGTTGGCTCGCGGAGCTTGTCAGCGACGCTTTCTGGGCCGCCAGCGATGAGCGCGCGCTCGAGGCCACCGAGGCCGGCCTCGGATTCGTTGTACCGCGATGGCACGTTGAACTGATCGCCGTCGACGCTCTCAGATTCGCGAGATTGACCTGTTGGGCCGAGGCCGATCTCGTCGACAGGCGATCGAGCGTGGTCGAGAGCGGCCTGTACGTACCGTAAGTGCCGTAGTCACCCTGCGTTAATCAACAAGTGATAACTACTTTATTAACATGGATTCGTAGCTCTTCAAGTGTCTACTTGATTGAGTAATATTTCAGTATCAAGTTTCAAATAGAATTATAATTTGAATGAGAATCTGTTAAAAGTAGTAATAATTATAAATATATAAAATCAACGGATATTATGAATGTATAAAATAAAATTAATAATCTAAATTTTCGAGGCAATCTAAAAATCAATTAAGCAGATGAACTCATTCTTTGATTGTTTCAAATTTAATTTAACTTAAATGGATAAAGTTATTGCTAACAGCTGAGCTATTTCTATCTCGAATTTTTATTAATACTGAATTATCGCTTAGTTAAACAGACACTTGAAGAATCATAAATAAAACTAATGATGTATAACGTTGAGCGAAAATGAAAGAGATTTGCGCGCATATAAATACATTTTGCATAGCCACACTTTACATTATTACTTTCCGTCCATTTTTATCCTGTAAGGATTCATGGTTTCGGACTTATTCGAATATAAATGAATGAATTTAGTAACAAGATAGAATAGAAAGAGCAAGGCAAAATCTATCACTCTGTATAGTTATTCATGGTGATAATAAAATTAGCGGCATCCGGTCGATTGTCGGACGGAGAGGGAGAGAGCACTGAGCTCTCTGCGATTTCATTTACCTGATTGACGGCTGCATGAATGTTCTCGGCGCTGTATGTATAACGGGGTGGTCTACTTGTGGTCGCCCTGATCTGCTCGTACAGGGCGCTGGTACTCGGCGTGCGGCTCAGCCAGGCGCGGTACTCGTCCGACGTGAATACACTCGGTGAGGACGGTATCCTGCCTGTTTATCGACACGGTCAGTTCGCGTTAAGTGCAATCCCGCCGATTGCATTGCCGATTACTGTCTCGATTAGTCCGGGGGGGGGGG